GTTGTGTGGGTTGTTGTGTGGCTGAGTGGGGGGGGGGAGGTAACCTTACAGTAGTGCACCGTCTGTGTGGTGTGTGGTGAGGTTGTGTGGGGTGGGGTGAGGTTGTGTGGGTTGTTGTGTGGCTGAGGGGGATAACCTTACAGTAGTGCACCGTCTGTGTGGTGAGGTTGTGTGGGGTGGGGTGAGGTTGTGTGGGTTGTTGTGTGGATGAGGGGGGTGGTAACCTTACAGTAGTGCGTCGTCTGTGTGGTGTGTGGTGATGATGTGTGGGGTGGGATGAGGTTGTGTGGGGTGGGATGAGGTTGTGTGGTGAGGTTGTGTGGGGTGTGGTGAGGTTGTGTGGGGTGTGGTGAGGTTGTGTGGGGTGTGGTGAGGTTGTGTGGGGTGTGGTGAGGTTGTGTGGGTTGTTGTGTGGCTGAGGGGGATAACCTTACAGTAGTGCACCGTCTGTGTGGTGTGTGGTGAGGTTGTGTGGGATGTTGTAAGGTTGTGTGGGTTGTTGTGTGGCTGAGGGGGGGGGGGTAACCTTAGAGTAGTGCACCGTCTGTGTGGTGAGGTTGTGTGGTTGAGGTGGGGGGAGTAACCTTACAGTAGTGCAACATCTATGTGGTGTTTGGTGATGTTGTGTGGTGTGAATCTTTGAAAGGTGAAAGTTTTTAGTTTTATTGAATCTTCCTTGGCTATGGAAGTTTTTATTGAATCTCTTGAATATGGCAGCTTTTATTGAATCTCCCTTTTATCTCACCTCTTCCTGTGCTAACCTTTGAATGCCGGGTGTGATAGCGTTGTGTACACAGGTAAATAGGTGGGGCTGGGGTGAGGGGGAATTCAAACCACGATTTGTGGGCATCAATACTAATGATAGCTGTCTGTTTTATCGCACAGTGCTGTGGTAGGGGGTGATAAGGTCGGCTGGGGTGAAGTGGTTGGGGTAGATTGGGGCTCACATTGTCATGGGGTGGGGGTGGTTAGGTGGACTCACGGGGTGAAATGGTTGGGGTAGATTGGGGAGGGGGGGGGTGGTGGTTAGGTGGACTCACGTGGTGAAATGGTTGGGGTAGATTGGGGAGGGGGGTGGTGGTTAGGTGGACTCACGGGGTGAAATGGTTGTGAAGGGGGTGGTTAGGTGGACTCACGGAATGAAATGGTTGTGGAGGGGGTGGTAAGGTGAACTCACGGGGTGAAATGGTTGGGGGAGGGGGGTGATTGAAGATCTTTTTTTGTGCACCTGGTTGGAGTTCTCTAACATTAAATAAGATTTTAAAGGAATTTTCAGCGAGCGAAATGCGTCGTTTTGTTTTTTCAAACTTGAGCTCTGTAGTTGGGCGTCGATACATGAGTGGTGCGCTGTGGGAGAAAAAGGTGGGAGATGTAGTTTCCACCTGTCTGGGGCTGCCACGCTGACGTCACTAGGTAGATTAAAAGGATCCGGTTGCTTTAGCCAGGGAGGATGTTTTTTATGTTGATTTTATTTGAGTTTTATTTACCAGACTTTGATTTATGGAACTTTTATATGCTGCTATGTCTTGGTACGGCTGATCTGACTCGGTACAGCTAATCTGACTCGGTATAGCTGATCTGACTCGGTACAGCTGATCTGACTCGGTATAGCTGATCTGACTTGGTACAGCTGATCTGACTCGGTATAGCTGATCTGACTCGGTATAGCTGATCTGTATCGGTATAGCTGATCTGACTCGGTATAGCTGATCTGACTCGGTATAGCTGATCTGACTCGGTATAGCTGCTCTGTATCGGTATATCTGATGTGTAGAACATTTGTTTTTACTCTCATACAAGCTTGTATATAAGCACTAAAAAGAAGAGAATAACTTGATTTTATATACATTTTAACAATTATTATTAAGTGTCCCTTTTATTCTTTTAACTATTTGCTTGTTCATTCTTGATACTTTTTACGTCGTCATGGATCAAAGGAATTTCGAATTTTGTCACATTGCATTATCTTCGGGTTGTCAAGTTTCAAAGAAATCGGTCGGTAGAAGTGCCTGAGATTTCGCTCGCAAGTTTCGAGCGTTGACGAAGTAAAAAAAAAATCACCAAGCATGTACGAGGAATCAAGTTTCAAAATTAACGAAGGCAAATAAAAAAACAAATTCGCAAAACCAAAAGTTTTGATTTAATGTTAAAAAGTAGTTTCTCTAACTAGTAAACATGATATTTTCCACGTTTACTTTCTTCCAGTGTGTACCTGTGCGCCGAGCATATTACCTGTATATTACCTGTATGCTCTCTGTCTATCTTATCTGTATCACATATCATCTTTTTCCCAAGACACTTGGAGTGGAGTTAATCTCTGTAAGAGACCTCAGCAATTGAAGGGATAGTGTTGCCAGCACTATGCCAAGCAGCCTGATTTCCCTAGCTGGGTGGACTCGAGAACATTCTATTGTCCCATATCTTATCTGTATACCTCTGTCTATCTGTCTATCCCATCTGTATACCTCTGTCTATCTGCCTATCCCATCTGTATACCTCTGTCTATCTGTCTATCCCATCTGTATACCTCTGTCTATCCCATCTGTATACCTCGGTATGTGTGTTGTCTGTCTATTGCCGATATTCTGCTTGTGTTTTTTACGCTGAAATTTGACAAATGCATTTTTAGGCGCATTTTCTTATTCCTGAAACTAGTTATGTAACTGTCAGTATTTGACTGACGTTGAAACGGTCAGTATTTGGGTGACGTTGAAACAGTCAGTATTTTACTGATGTTGAAAAGGTCAGTATTTGACTGATGTTAAAAGTACCAAACCACCTTTACTTGAGGAATACCACTGGCATGCCCCTATAAAAGAAACTAAGAGCTAGATCCCAGACACTAAAACTGGAAGGTTCCCTGAGGTCCATGTCTCTAAAACTTCAATTACCCCCTCCCCTCCATTATAATTGGCTAGCCCTCCCCCCTTCAACTGTTGTAGGCTATTTTCATCGCAGGCCCATACCAGTCACCCCCCTCCCTGGACGGGCTGAATGTTTTATTCCATGAAATCATCGTCTTATTATATCTTTCTTCCTGGAGAAAACTGTTCTGGGCCAACCAGACGCCTCAGTTAGCCAGGCTTTTCTCGATTAGCTTCTTCCTGGCCGTGATCTGGCCAGGGCTTGTCATACTCAGATGAGTAGCATTCAGGGAGGCAATATTTGGGGAAAGGGACGTAGAGGGGGGGGGGGGGTAATTCTCAAATGTAATCAGCAAAAATAATGTTTCCCTTAATGACACTCGTAGACATGCCCTATAAAAATGTATTTGAAAGATGTATGGGCCACAATCACGTGACACGGGGGCTATTGAACGCGAGTGACCTCCCCTGGTCTAGAAATACGGACGGTTACTGGCCCTGTTTGGCAGGCGGAAATAGAGGCTTGCCTGTCTGTAGCGGTCGTCTCATAGTGTCGTTTGATGATCCCGGCAACAGGGCAGCTACTGATGATTTGATTTATAGGGTATCGATCCCCCACACCGATAATTTTTTTTATCAGTAACTTGCTCGTCTCACTCTCTCGGTGTGTTGAGGGGAAGTAACCCAGAGAGATGGGGGAGGTAACCCAGAGAGATGGGGGAGGTAACCCAGAGAGATGGGGGAGGTAACCCAGAGAGATGGGGAGGAGTAAACTGGAGAGATGGGGGGGGGGGGGTTAACCCAGAGAGATGGGGGGGGGGGGGGGGGGGTTAACCCAGAGATGGTGGAGATAACCCAGAGAGATGGGGGAGGTAACCCAGAGGAATGGGGGAGGTAACCCAGAGAGAGGGGGAGGTAACCCAGAGAGATGGGGGAGGTAACCCAGAGAGATGGGGGGAGGTAATCCAGAGAGATGGGGGGGGGGGTAACCTTAGAGATTGGTAGACAGCTGCTCTCCCCTTAATTCCACATGACCCCAGCTCTGGCTGTGTTTAGATACCAGATTGGAGCCTGTTTACTAAGACAACTGGCTGAGAAATTGGCTTGCCATCCTAACCTTTACTTTTCTCTGGAAATGTTTTTCATTTGACTTTTTTTTTTACTTAATTTTTGGGGAACTGCTAACCACACTTTATTATATCATGACTTATTTTTACTTTCTCGTATATACGTAGTATAGAGAAAGTATTGTAATCGTGCAAAAAAAAAAATCGAGATTTTTACAAATCTCGACGTTTTACACCTCACTGATACGGAAAAACATAATTTTGCAATCTTGTCCGTATGTCTGTGTGTGTGTGTGTCTGTGTGTCTGTGTGTCCGTGTGTAAACACGATAACTTGAGTACCGTTACAGCTAGGCTGGTGAAATTTCATATATAAGTATTTTATCAAAATCGTAGATCCGTATCAACTTTTGAGCGAATTCCGATAACCGGAAGTGGTACTTTTTCTACTTTGAATTTTTCAAAAGCCTATAACTTGAGTACTATTTCAGATAGATAAATGAAATTTGATATGTAAGTAAAAGAGCTAATTCTCTACCTTCTGTCAAATTTTGAGTAATTTCCGTTGACCGGAAGTACTTATTTACGCTATTTCCGATTTCTCAAAAAACGCATGTAAATTTATAAAGTACTAATAATATTGCGCACTATTATGCGCTTTTTTATTTAGCGTTCACTTGGTGTGCATTTCTTTTTTCTACGAGATTATAGTCTATTTTAAGAAATGTGAGTATTTAAAATGGATTAAAAATCATGTCTAGAAGTCTATATCCCCTGTAGTGTTATATTAGAATATTCGAGAAAGTTTAGGGGAGATCACTACCGGTTTATTTTAATTAATTTTTTTAAATTTATAAGTAGTACTCAATCTAATGAGTTGAATTGTTCTGAAAATTTTTTCTGTGATCTCTGTTTAGTATTTCCCAAGCCTTTATTGGTGTATATCTGTATACATAAAAAGAAAGTCCCATTTATAATGAGAATCTTTGTTTAGTATATCCCAAGCCTTTGTATCTTACCTATATACATAAAGTCCCATTTGTAAATAGGTTCTTTGTCTTGTGTTACAGAAGCCCCCGATGTTGGTGTCAAGAAGAAAGCAACAAAACGCAAGGCACCACTACCTGTAGAAGAACCAACTGACCAGCAGGCGCCATCTGAGCCAAGGCCAGAAGGGGAGGAGGAGGACATGCTGGGTAAAAGGGGGGCCGCGGGGGAACTGCGCCCCAAGAAGAAACGGCGCCTGGCCGGCCCACCTGAGCCAAAGAACGCCCTGATGCACTTAAATGAGCTGCGCCCAGGCACGCAGTTCAAGTTTGTGTCTCAGACCGGCCCGGTCCACGCCCCCATCTTCGTCATGTCTGTTGAGGTCAACAACCAGACCTTCGAGGGCCGCGGCAACTCCAAGAAACTGGCCAAGCTTCACGCAGCCGAGCTGGCGCTGAAGTCGTTCGTCCAGTTTCCCGATGCCTCTGAAGCCCACCAAGCCCTGGGGCGCGGGTTCCTGCCGTCCACGGCTGACTTCACCACTGACAGTGACCTGACTGGCTCGGAACTTCTCTTTAACGACTTTGAGAACAAAGATGAAAACAGTGCCAATCTTGATGATGTCACTGCAGCCAATGGTGATAGTGCAGCTATAAATAGAGCTCAGGTAGGTCTATTTTTAGCTCTGTTCAAGTTGTTTATCTCTGGTTTTAGTCCAATGAATGTCAGCTTTAAGCTGCTTCAGGTGACATTTACAGCGCAACATTGGGGGGATAAAACTCTGCTGCACTTTTACAGCGCAACAGTGGGGGGATAAAACTCTGCTGCACTTTTACAGCGCAACAGTGGGGGGATAAAACTCTGCTGCACTTTTACAGCGCAACAGTGGGGGGATAAAAATCTGCTGCACTTTTACAGCGCAACAGTGGGGGGATAAAACTCTGCTGCCCTTTATGGCTTAAAGAGAGCCCATCTCCCTCCAGGTATAAAAAGAAAATAACATTTGTAATTCACATCTTTGTTTTGTATTTCCAAAGCCTTTTGGTACCCTTCCGTTACAAAGTTCTAATCACCTATGTATACCAAGCATCACTTAGGAACAGCCCAGAAGTATCCATTAAGCGCTATATTGTCATCCATATTTCTTGTATTAACAGAACATCTGTGCTATTTAGCATGGTACAAATAAATTATATGTTTTTAATGGAACCTTAGTTTTTTACTGGATTGTTTGTTGAATTGACTGTCAACTTAGTTTACTGAGTTAAGTTGTTAAAGAAACCTGAGTTCTTAGCGCCATCAGGTGTGGCAGTCTGCTTAAAACCTTGTAATCTTAGATGTTGAACTGCCATTTTTAGAACCATATGAAAGAAGTGTCAATTACATCATAGCAATCTGGGAACTACAACCTACATGGGAGGGAGGGTCTTATGTCTCTTGTGTTTTTACTGGCAGTGATTTACCTGCCCTGTGTAATTTAAGTCTTGTCCTAACGAATGTTGCTTTAAAATGTCCGCAGGCTCTAAACATCCAGAAAAAACTTCAAGCCATTCCAGAACAGCAGTCCAACAAAAACCCTGTCATGGTGCTCAATGAGATCCACAGGGGTGTCAAGTTTGAATTTGTCTCTGAAATAGGGGAGAGAAATTTTAGGATATTCAACATGAAAGTGAGTTCACTCCCTTGCTACTTTGATTTATTACAGCATAAAGTTGTGGGTGTTAGATAAGTGAGTGAAAATAGCCAGTTAAGTTCATATCTAGATCTATAGACTGCTTGGTGGGCTAATGGTGGGCAAACTTAAGCTCTGTCTTGAGAGTCATACATGAGTAGTGCACTGTGGGGGGGGGGGGGGGGGGGGGACAAATGTCATGTTTGGTGGACTGTTGGTAGAATGCAGCAATGTTTGGTGGGCTGGTGGTGGAGTGGAGCAAAGGTCATGTTTGGTGGGCTGAGTGCAGCAAATGTCATGTTTGGTGGAGTGTTGTGGTTAAATAAGCTCCTTTCATGACATATTCAGCACATCACTGAGCCCACTCAGTCTCTGTGGGTAACCAGCCTAATTTGGCTCCCACACACAACACAGTTGTATACTCTAGCCGTAGACGACACAAATATGCATCACCATGAAATAGTACCTACATTTTACTGCATGTTAGTGTATTTAAGTTTTTTCATTTCTCTTGTAAATGTGAAGATTTAACAACAGTTTATTAAATAAAAATTTAATATTTTAAATATAATTTTGTTTAGGTCACTGTTGGTAGCAGGGACTTTCTAGGCTCAGGACGCAGCAAGAAACTAGCCAAGTATAATGCTGCCCTCAATGCCCTGAAAGTCTTGCATGGCATCAACCACTTTGAGAGGAGGGGTGAGTACCTAAAGATGTCTTTGGTTTGGTTAACATGTGGCAAGTTGTTTGTGAGATGATAGGATGGCAACTTGTTGGTAGATTGATAGGATGGCAAGTTTTTTGTAAGATTGATAGAATGGCAATGTGTTTGTAGATTGATAGAATGGCAAGTTGTTTGTGAGATTGATAGAATGGCAAGTTTTTTGTAAGATGATAGAATGGCAAGTTGTTGGTAGACTGGTAGAATGCTAAGTTGTTGGTAGATTGATAGAATGGCAAGTTGTTGGTAGATTGATAGAATGGCAAGTTGTTTGTAAGATTGATAGAATGGCAAGTTGTTTGTAAGCTTTGATAGACCAGCAAGTTGTTTGTGAGATTTGATAGACCAGCAAGTTGTTTGTGAGATTTGATAGACCAGCAAGTTGCATCAACTGCTACACCTCCCCTTGGTCCACAGATATGACTGCAGTGAATGAAGAGTCCATCCAGGGCGACCCCCAGGTGCTGGCCGACCACGTGGCCCAGATGGTGTTCAACAAGTTTGGGGAGCTCACCGACAACTTCTCTTCCTCGTTTGCCAGGCGGAAAGTTCTAGCTGGCATCGTCATGACGTCAGGCAAGGACGGTGACCCCGGACAGGTCATCTGTGTCGGCACTGGAACCAAGTGCATCAACGGGGAGTACCTGAGTGAGAAGGGGTCAGGGGTCAATGACTGCCACGCTGAGGTCGTGTGTCGGCGCCTGTTGATGAGGTACCTCTACTCCCAGCTCATGCTTCACTTGGACCCGTCCACAGCGGGGGAGTCCATTCTAGAGCTGCGGCCTGAGGGGGGGTACAATCTGAAGGATGGGATCAAGTTCCACCTGTACATCAGTACAGCCCCCTGCGGGGATGCCAGGATATTTTCACCCCACGAGAAGAAACTGGCCGGACAGAAAGAACCGGAACAACAGCCTGAGGGCGCTGAAGCCTCTGGGGATAATGGCAACACCAGCAGCGGTCCTGAGGCAATGGAGACAGACAAGCACCCCAACAGGCGAGCCCGGGGGCTGCTGCGGACAAAGATAGAGTCAGGGGAGGGAACCATTCCGGTCAAGGTCTCCGGCACCATACAGACCTGGGATGGGGTGCTGCAGGGGGAGCGACTCCTGACCATGTCGTGTAGTGACAAGATCACCAAGTGGAACGTCCTTGGTGTGCAAGGTGAGAACAGGTTTTTTTGTTCACTTTAATGCAGGTGTTTACTTTAACACAGGTGTTAACTTTAACACAGGTGTTTACTTTAACATAGGTGTTTACTTTAACACAGGTGTTTAATTTAACACAGGTGTTTAATTTAACACAGGTGTTTATTTAACACAGGTGTTTACTTTAACACAGGTGTTTAATTTAACACAGGTGTTTATTTAACACAGGTGTTTATTTAACACAGGTGTTTACTTTAACACAGGTGTTTATTTAACACAGGTGTTTACTTTAACACAGGTGTTTACTTTAACACAGGTGTTTATTCAACACAGGTGTTTATTTAACACAGGTGTTTACTTTAATACAGGTGTTTACTTTAACACAGGTGTTTATTTAACACAGGTGTTTACTTTAACACATGTGTTTATTTAACACAGGTGTTTACTTTAACACAGGTGTTTACTGTAACACAGGTGTTCATTTAACACAGGTGTTCATTTAACACAGGTGTTTACTTTAACACAGGTGTTTACTTTAACACAGGTGTTTTCTTTAACACAGGTGTTTACTTTAATTCAGGTGTTTACTTTAACACATGTGCTTACTTTAATTCAGGTGTTTGCTTTAATACAGGTGTTTACTTTAACTTGGGTGTTTTCTTTAACACAGGTGTTTTCTTTAACACAGGTGTTTTCTTTAACACAGGTGTTTACTTTAACACAGGTGTTTACTTTAACACAGGTGTTTACTTTTACACAGGTGTTTAATTTAATGCAGGTGTTTACTTTAATGCACATTAACACAAGTGTTTACTAATTTATCCTATTGAACCTGTACTTTATGTCAATAAAGTTTTTTGTAGTAACATGGTGCTATCTAGTTTGATTATCTAAGGTTAACTACAATCACATGCAATTACATGTTTAAGTTTAAATACAATCACATACATTGACATGTTTAAGTTTAAATACAATCACATACATTGACATGTTTAAGTTTAACTACAATCACATACATTGACATGTTTAAGTTTAAATACAATCACATACATTGACATGTTTAAGTTTAAATACAATCACATTATGTCAGGGGTGGCAAAGTGCGGCCCGCAGGCTTCATGCGGCTCGCCACAGAGTCTTTGTGGCCCGCCAGACATTCAGAAAGCCCTGCCTTGAACTGAGATTAGCTTCATGTCCGCGACTGAAAGTTCATCTCATATTTTTTCCATTAGTGCGGCTATGTGCATGCGCAGGCAGTGTAAATACGCACTTTTCCAGTTTGTCAGTTTTATTTCAGTTTTGTCTATGCAACAGTAAAAATTTTAAATTTCCAAATTAAGTAAAGCTGTGTACCCTACAAAAAAAGTGTAAAATTGGTGATGAATCCAATGTGTTTAATGAAGGTTGGACACACATATTTATTTAGTAATACAGACAAGTTTTATTTATCGATTTTTATTTTACCATTTATAATTTTTCTGAAATTAAATGTAATGCCAACTAAACAATATAATAATTTAAAACGGTGCGGCCCTCTGCTAAAATCCGCCACCACAAAGTGACCCTCGAGCCAAAACAATTGCTGACCCCAGCCGTAGGTTGACATGTCTAAGTTTAAATACAATCACATTATGTTGACTGGGCTAATCATGTTTTAATGAATGACATCCACCCATAGCAATATATTGTAGAGTATATTGTAGAGTCAACAGTGTTTGATATGTCACCAGGTTTTGATGTTACATATTTTGACCCCTGTCTACATCTGTATGAACAGACACACCACTCATTGACTTTATACAATTTTAAAAGAGCCATTACAAACTTTAAAATAACTTTATATAAATTCACTTTTAAAAAAAAGGGTTTGATTCAGATTTAATAAGCTCTAGTAACATTAAGTTTTGTAAGGCAACTGTCTCTCCAGGCCGTAAGCCATTTTTTTTTATCAAAAGCATTAAAATATTTGATTAGAATATTTGATAACAATTTTCTGTTGGGGGATCGGAGTTGGCATGTTTGAAATTTTTCCTGTAGATAACAGCAAACTCTCTTCTATTTACAGCCTGTTACATTACATTACATTACACTACATTACATTTTAAGCTTGCACTAAATCTCAGCTTATATAAAATGAATCAAGTAAATGACACCAGGCATGCATCCCATCATTCTCCATGTCTGCATGGGATCCCCTCCTGTGCTTTTATTAAATCTGTAGCCCCATCCCCTGCAGTCAAGCAGAAATATTTTTTTATTAATGTCTCCTGACTGATTATCAAATATAATATATCTGGCTAAAATGATCAAGTTAATAAATGACTGGCCTGTGCTGTCAAGGTTTTAGGGTTGAAAACTTTTATCTGGCAAAATGATGTTATATAGAAAAGTTAGGCTTCATTTTTTAATTATTTTTTTTTTTATTGTTTAAGCAAATGGTAGGCGACATGTATGTGTCTATACAGTCTATTTGTAAAAGCTGTAGGAAAATGTAACTGGATAGTGTTTGTGTATGAATGCAGCTATTGGACATTGCCTGTTTATGGAAGCCAGTGACCATTTTTATGCCTGCAGCTAGTGACAATGTTTATGCCTGCAGCTAGTGACAATGTTTATGGGTACAGCTAAAATGTTTGATGATTGCAGGTTCCCTACTCAGCCACTTCATCACCCCTGTCTACCTGAGCAGCATCATCGTGGGCAGTTGGTACCACAGCGAGCACATGGTGAGGGGCGTGTACGGCCGGGTCAGCCACATGACCCCGCCCTCCCCCCTGTACAGACTAAATAAACCTTTCCTGAGCGGCATCTCCAGCCCTGAGTGCCGGCAGCCGGGGAAAACTCCAAACTTCTCTGTCAACTGGTAATCACTTTTTATCTCCCTTTGAATGGTTGTATTTCACTGGACTGTGATATGCTCATCTTCTTTATGTGGTCACAATGTTAAATTTAGAAGTGGTTATCTTTTTTTCTTTACAACAGTTTCTATTTCTAGGAGTAAAAACAAATAAACAATTTTAAAACGTTTTTTGGTTGTAAATCAGAATGGGGGTGGAGGGGGGGGGGGGGGGGAGGGCTGATATGCAGGTAGATTTTAAAATATACTCCTATAGGGACTGCTGTGTTTTTTTTTAGGTGGGGGGGGGGGGTGTCAACAATTGAGTGTTTATTATTTTATTTTAATTTACAATTGTGTTTATGAATAGTTGTGTGTAAAAGATTTTTGCTATATCATTTAAGTCCATTAATAGTACTAACCAGTTGAGTCTATAAATTAATTGACCACTTGTATTTATACATTAATTGACCAGTTGTGTTTTTGAATTCAGTGACCAGTTGTATACATTTGTCTAGAAATTGACCAATTGTGTCTATACATTACTTGGCCAGTTGTGTCTATACATTAATTGACCAGTTGTATCTATGACCTACCTGAGCCATTAGACCAACTGACCTGTCTGTTTTACCCCGGTGCTACTAGACCTGTGCATCAACTGACCTGTCTGTTTTACCCTGGTGCTACTAGACCTGTGGACCAACTGACCTGTCTGTTTTAGCCAGGTGCTACTAGACCTGTGGACCAACTGACCTGTCTGTTTTAGCCTGGTGCTACTAGACCTGTGGACCAACTGACCTGTTTGTTTTACTCTGGTGCTACTAGACCTGTGGACCAACTGACCTGTCTGTTTTACTCTGGTGCTACTAGACCTGTGGACCAACTGACCTGTCTGTTTTAGCCAGGTGCTACTAGACCTGTGGACCAACTGACCTGTCTGTTTTACCCTGGTGCTACTAGACCTGTGCATCAACTGACCTGTCTGTTTTACTCTGGTGCTACTAGACCTGTGGACCAACTGACCTGTCTGTTTTACTCTGGTGCTACTAGACCTGTGGACCAACTGACCTGTCTGTTTTAGCCAGGTGCTACTAGACCTGTGGACCAACTGACCTGTCTGTTTTACCCTGGTGCTACTAGACCTGTGGACCAACTGACCTGTCTGTTTTACCCTGGTGCTACTAGACCTGTGCATCAACTGACCTGTCTGTTTTACCCTGGTGCTACTAGACCTGTGCATCAACTGACCTGTCTGTTTTACCCTGGTGCTACTAGACCTGTGGACCAACTGACCTGTCTGTTTTACTCTGGTGCTACTAGACCTGTGGACCAACTGACCTGTCTGTTTTAGCCAGGTGCTACTAGACCTGTGGACCAACTGACCTGTCTGTTTTACCCTGGTGCTACTAGACCTGTGGACCAACTGACCTGTCTGTTTTAGCCTGGTGCTACTAGACCTGTGGACCAACTGACCTGTCTGTTTTACCCTGGTGCTACCCTGTGTCCCCAGGTTTGTGGGTGAGAGCTCTATGGAGGTGGTCAACCCCACCACTGGCAAGACGGACAAGGGCGGAATCTCCAGGCTCTGCAAACAGGCCATGTTCAAGAACTTCCTCACCTTGTATGGCAACGTCAGTTCTCTGTCCAGCCAGGGCGTTGTGGAGAGACCAAGGTTCAAAACTCTCAACACTTCTCTTACCTTCTACCACGTCTTTGTTATTGCATCTTTAAAACTATTCTAATATTCTATTCCTGCTTGTACCAGTTGACAATGTCAGCTTTAAACATCTATCTATTAGTATAACTACATCATGAGTTACTATCTATTAGTATAACTACATCATGAGTTACTATCTATTAGTATAACTACATCATGAGTTTCTATCTATTAGTATAACTACATCATGAGTTTACACAGAGGTCAGCAGCATTTTTTAATTGAAAATCTGATAATAATTTATTTGTTACAAATACTCTAAGCTGGAATTTATAATTTGAATTAAATTGAAGAAATTGCTTTATAAATAATGTTTTCCCCACCTCTGAGTAATATTTTGCCTGCTGGCCACTGAGTGACTAAAGTTATTTTTAGATCTCGATGCTGGCCATTCACTAACCCTAGACATGTTTTTACAGACTGTACTCCGAGGCCAAAGCAGCGGTCATGGACTATCAGCTGACCAAACAAACCTTGATCCAGGCCTTCCAGCAAGCCAACCTGGGGCTGTGGGTCAAGAAACCCCACGAGCACGATGAGTTCCCTCTGGCAGAGTTCTAGAGCACAGACAAATAGATGGCACATCTTTAGGGCTTTTATACAAGTTGACCCTTTCAAACATAGGGCTTTTATACAAGTTGACCCTTTCAAACATAGGGCTTTTATACAAGTTGACCCTTTCAACCCTGGGGCTTTTATACAAGTTGACCCTTTCAACCCTGGAGCAATGGATGTCAAGCAGCCTTTATATATAACTTAATATAAAAAATTACCCCTTAAGCTCTGTGACATCTTAGGTAATGTAGCTTTGAAGGTGAATATAATGTAATTAATAATTGAAGGTAAACAGGCTCAAGTGATGGCTTAATGCGCGCCTGAGTGTACAAAGGACTAACACTAATGTCTGATGCCAATGGGACAATTAACAAGAGAACTTAGTGTGTTCATTCCGGTGTGCAAATGCCCTAAAATGAATAGTCCTGTCCTTGTGTTTATCTCGTTTATTGTGCAGCTATTATGTAACAAGTTTATTTGTCCCTGTATATTTTTTACCTTCATTTGATCTGTTACCGTTATGGCAGTTATTGTCAGTTTTTAAGGTACAAGACTGGGAGTTTTGTTTTATGGAATTTTAGCTTCTTCCGAATTTTTTTTGGTCTTGTTAAAAATCTTAAACATTTTTATTATATGGTTTTTACTATTTTATTTGTTGCTAAAAAATAATATATGTATTAGAACTTATGGATCATTGCCCATATTTTGTGTAGTGTGAAAACGTTACAGTGGATAAAACAACTGTACAGTTTTAATGGACACTTAACATGTATATTTTTATATAAAACATTCAGAAACATGAATTTTCTCTTTTAAGTTACGTGTATTTTTTTAATACTTCCAGTATTGGAGGCTTTTATTGTTTAACATTTTAAGAGTGTTAACTAGATGTCTAACACAAGTCCTCATATATAACTACATACAGAAAGTATGAATTTCTCATTTTAATTATGTTCTAAGAATGAATTAGGACAAATGGTAAAATAATCTTTAAATTAGCATTTCATATTTGACTTTGTAAAATTCAGTGCAAGCCTATGAAATGCCTTCAGATTCAATAAATGCTGTTGAAATTTAATGTGGTAATTTGCTTTTGAGAAATTTTGTAAATCTGTCTCAATATCACGGGCTTTAATTTAAAAAATTAAACAAACAAAAAACAAGTTCAATTAAACCAGTAGGGTGACTTTTATTGAAAAGTTAACAACAGTAGATACATTTTATTATTTTAGCAAATTAACTAGCAAAAATTTCACCCTCGAAAAAACAAAATAAATCCAGTGTGACAGTGGTGAATGTAATATTTCACACAGCACCAGCGAACACACACCAATCAACAAGACATTTCTCACCTGTAAATGCGTACTGGGATGGGAAGTCCTATTTTATGGGGGTGACAAACTCTAAATTGGAGAGGGGGGGAGGGTCCTCTTGTACAGATCAATGACAGTTAACAGACATCTACAGATGTCTTGATGCTACTGCTATTGACACAAGTAAAATGGACACAGTGAAGCCACTAAAAACCTTAACAATAGGTGATGATTCAATATTAGATATTTCATTCTTTTATTTAGAACAAATGTCAACAGCACGTTTGATAGTAGCTAAAAAATAATGCATTAAAGAACACCAACAAATCATGATGAGAAAGCTGAAATGCTAGTTTGTGTTAAATACTTTGCTACTTGGTTCAATGCCATATAAATCAGTGGTTCCCAAAATGGAGTGCAAGATCCACACATGATTATATTGATTTTTAAGGCACTGATCCATGGATGAGTTGGTAAAAATCTCATTGTGTGGATAGTGAGGCTTCAGTTAAAATAATATTTGTAGCACATGACAAAATTACATTTTGATTTTTTTTTTCTATTGAAATTATGTGGCAGGAGGGTAATTATAACTTTTGAAACATTTTTGGTGGACAGTTTTAGAACTACTTAAGTGAACCTAGACAAAAAGTGTTGTTTATAAAACTACAATTGTGTAAAGGGGAAACCACTCATGTATATCAACACAAGTAAGATTGAAATTTAAAAAAGAAAACCCAAAAACTAATATATTGATATTAACAGCTAAAACACTTGCATTGTGCATAGCATACAAAAATAGTTAAAACAATTCAATTATAGCATGATGTTCCACAAATATTCTCAATGTAACTTCCTTAACAATTGTGAAGAGAAAATATAATGGAAAATACATACATACATAATACTGAATAAAAAATGTTCATACATGCACTTCACAGTATAAATAACCTTAACTTTTACCCACTAAGATCACATTTTATACGTGTAACTCTAAATCAGATCTATTATACATATATAAAGCAGAAAATGCATACCACTGCAGCAAACGTTATATTTTTTCAACATCTACGGCACAGCACATAAGCAGTCAATAACAGCACATACAGGACTCATTCAGGGATGTACACAGTTCCTATCACAAATGTGATGACCATTTTAACATATGTGGTTCTAGGAAGTCATCTCTGGCACATATTCATCAAGTAGTTTAATCTATTAAGTAGAGTTCTTGTAAACACAACTTAAATAAACCTATCTGGCAATAATCCTTTCACTTAAATAAACAATTCTGCACATTATGAGATACTGATGTTGTAAGCATGATGGAATTTAAGACAAAAGCTATTTATGTTACAATTTTTTCAGATTCAAAATATTTTTTTCTTAATTGCTGCAACTGTACTACTTGGGTTAAACTTTACATCAAAATGTATCTGCTAAATTAGAAAATAACTACCGGAAAGATTTTTAGGAAGAAATGTATGTTCACCCTCCATGCAAATGTCATCAAATGAATGACTAGTTCTGTGAACTAATGCATTATCTCCATCTAACAAATTGGTATTTAATGTTAGTCTTCGATCCCCTTAAAAAACTGAAGTCCCAGTATTCAGCTGAAAATGTTTAATATACAAACATACAAATAATTTAAGTCCAGAACAATATAACATCACCTAGGCTGGCAAAGGAGTTTAAAACAAATCCCTAAACATGCAGGCTAAGAACTATTCCTAATGATGATAATGCAAATTTGAAAACTGGACAATTAAAATTAATAACAAAAGAGTAAACAAATGTATATTTAACAAACTTTTATTTTTTAAACACGGAGGTTTATTATGTAAAAATAGACCTAATTAATATAATAAGGTATCTGACAATAGCAAGACATGAATTTATTTTTAACTTTAAAAAATGAGACATTCAAACACAAAAATTCACAATATCTTGGTGCTCAACATTTAAGATAAACTAAGGTACACTTCTCTCTGGATGAGTTGAAACTTTTAGTGGGTTTAGGTCATGACATTAACTGGTCAGCAATTTTTAATTTAATTGAGAAAATCTCTAGTTAAAAAAAAGGAACTTAATGAAATCAATAAAACATTTCTGGCATTTATTGTTTCTTTTACCTTGACCAGGGCATAAAAGACCAAGTAACCTAAAAAATAAAATGTTCTTGAAACAGTAAAAAAACATTTCACATGGATTAAGTTGTCTACTAGGCACAGAACATAGGACTATCTTCCAGGCACTTGTGACAGTTATCTCAGAGCTACACTCAACCAAACAATAAAACAAGTTTAAATAGTTATTTCTTGAGCTTTTTTTAAAGCAGTTATTCCTAGGAGTACCGCCACAGTATCACACACAAACAGATAATTGCATGGCCAAACCATGCTAACTGGACAGATGATTGTAGTAGGCTAAGCAAATATTTGAAGCTAGGGAATAATAAAATAACACCTGTTAATGGAACCCATTCACAGAACAAATGCAATGACAACTGATGAAAGACAGGGCTAGTGTCATACAATATTTCATGATGCATCTTACAAAAAATACAATTCACTTCAAATTATGGATATGTAATGAATTTTTTTAACAAGGGAAAAAAGCAACTTATTTTTAATACTTTAAAAATAAAGTAAAAACATATTTTTTTTACAAAGATAAGTCTTCAGTTGTAGTTTTTTGTTTATAAACATGCATTTCATAAAATGATCACAACAATTGTACACAGTAATAAAATTACAAAAAAAAGTACACAAAGTTGAATAGGAAAAAATATCAAAGATTAATTTGTTCTCTTTATCAAATCTGAATTAGTGGTTACATTATCTACAAAATGATCATCAAGAACCCAAATGTGTTCATAACTGATAGTATGATTTTAAATAAATCTACACAACTAAAGTCAATGTTGAAGTGATTATTTACTTCAATGTTAGTAAATGATTGGACAATCTCCTGGGCAAAACCAAGTCTGTATATACACAGCAATAATTATTTTTTAAAGTAACATGGAATGGTGACAACTGTAATTAGCACCAAAAGATGAGAAATCAAGATTTACATCCATATTGCAAAGATATTCTCTTGTTAAAAACAGAAAAGCAGTTTGCTATGCATGATAAGATTTAAACTGCAGAACAACAATTTATCCTGCAGTTTCATCTAATGAAATGTTTATGATCCAGAAGAAAGGTGAATGAATTAAATCTAGGATTTTTTTCACAGTATAGGTGGAGTAGGGGGAGGAGGGGGCGATGAAGGTGGCTGGCCTTTTGGCAGAGGAGGTTTCTTTGATTCAAATACAGCACTATGTTGAGAAAGCATTTGTCGGAACTTCTCCGTCCGGGTCTGTGAGGGGTCAATTGTCGGCGTGATAGGTGGGTGACCGTGAGTGCCATCGTCGTCATCGTCATCAAATATGTTGTTGGGCATGGTAGAAGAAAAAGCGTCATTGATGCTGAAACCACTGTTCTGGTGCTGCAACACATGAGAAGAACTGTTGTCTGAGTGGTGACTACTGCGGTAGTTGTCCTGGGAACCTGAGCTATAGGACTCCATTCTTTGAGACTTGGAGGACCGCTCCTCATAGTAGTCCAAGGCAGAGGCTGAGCGTTTGCTGGACTTGCTTTCGTGGCGAGAGCGGTCGTGTTTTGATGAGTGCTTCTTGCTCTTGTGCTGGTGACTGCGGTGGTGATGCCCGTGATGGTGTGAGCGGTGGGATTCTCGATCTCCGTTGTGTCCATTTGAACTGTGATCACTGTCACGACGACTGTAGTTCCCAGTGCTGTCCCCTGATTTGGGTACGGACAAGCGAAGTTTAAGGCCTTCTGATTTGCGCTCTGAGCCAATAGAAGGAGCTGGTGAGGCATCATCAACTATTTCCCCCTCCTCAAAAGGAGTACTGGATCTAGATGACTTTGAACCACTAGGTCCTACATCGTCTAAAGCTGAGTCAGATTTAATAGGTTTGATCTTCAGTTTCAGACCAGCCTCAGGTTTTTTCACATAATGCCTGTCACCAGAGGGGTCCAGCTTGACTTTAATCTTTAAGCGTGGTGTGTTGGGACTGTCTGTCTGTGGGTGTGTAAAGTCTGAATGTGACGTGCTGGTTTTAAAACTTTTGTCAGCTGGGGAGTTGGTGGCAGAATCTGTATGGGGATCAAACACACTATTTTCAGACAGAACAGAGTCTGTGATTCCATCTTCAACTGGAGCTCGAGATCTGGCCCTTTCTCTGTACATGGATAAAGACAACTTTGAACCTACATGTGGAATAGATGGTGTTTCATCCACCACCTTAACACTCTCAGGAGAAGCCACACTGACGGGATAGCTGACAGGGTCACCTGAGACTGCTAGGTCAGGGGGATCAAGTGGGCTTGGGGGTTTCACTGGGGGGCTGGGGGTTTGGGGAGGAGGGGTGTGTGCTGATGATTCATTCAGATCAACAGCTGGCGTATACTCAGCTGCGTTTCTTAATACTTGCTGCCTGTAAGCCATAGCTTCTTCTCTTGTGGGTTGAGCTTTAGACCTCTTTTGGTCCATGTCTGATCTACGATCTGAACGAGGCTGAGAATGTCGAGTTGGATCCACGGGTCGAGCCTGATCATGAGGCCGTGATGGGTCTCGTGGGCGAGATGGGTCATGGCTGAGACGGTTTGGATCATGAGATCTATTCAAGTCAACAGAATGCCTTGAGTCATGGCCAGGGCGTGATGAGGGTACATGACTAGCTGAGCCAGAATGTGGTCTGCCCCCTGCAGGTGGGTGGGTGGTGGTGCCAGGTAGCAGTGGGTGTCTTGACTGGGGTTTATTGCTCCCTGGTGTTGTGTTGTTGGTTCGTGCACTGCCAGGTTGGTGTGGACGATTATGCTGCTGCTGCTGATTGTGGGCATTTGAGGACGCAGCAGTTTGAGGTGGTCGCATTGGTACACTACTGGAAGGTGCTGCGGTTCTGGAATGGGATATATGTAATGGATCTTTAGAATGATTGTCTGCTGGGGCAGCCCCATTTGTAAAGTCTGTGATTGGTGGTTTCCCATTAGGGCTGTTGACAACATCCTGAGCAGGTGCACTGTTTGCTAGCTGCTGACTCTCAACAACTTGTTTGACTGAGTGGTTGGATGGGGGTAATGCTGTTGCCACAGGAGGCTGTGGTATACTGGCAGTAGCAGCAGAGGATGTGATAGGTTGAGCATGTGATGGACGAGCTCCTTGTGAAGTTGATGCAGATGCTACACCAGGTCCTCGAGCTGGTCCAGGCATAGCTCTATTATTTGCTACTCTTGACATCTGCAAATGGAGAATTTGAACTTTTAAAAACAGAAATCTTGAGTCAAAATTTAACTTCTATATTTTAAATAGCTAGCTGACAATTGTTATTCTCATTCTTGACACAACTTAAATTTTTTTTTTTTTTTATTAATTTAGAGGAATCAAATGTCAGTAGAACAGGAATAAGTATTCAACCATAAATTGTTTTTCACAGCTATGATCGAAACCAACATTATTTTAGCTCAGTACATTTGTTCCAATAGCCTATTATAAATTCCTTTTAATTCATGAACTTATCAGCGCTTGATTAACACAGTATTTTTGTATTTTTGTTACACAAAGACAATAATACTTACCCTTCCAAGATTTGTCATCCAGGATGGCAGGAGTGGGCAACCTTTGATACACTGGAGAAACTCTTCTGACACAGCTGATGAAAGTTTAAAAATGTAAATATATAGACCCATGCAGAACTATAATCAAAATACAAAATCTACATGTTCTATCATGTTAGTATACACCAGTATGTGATGTACCTTCAATTTCTGCTATATCGGTCTGGGAATGCAAAACTTGATACCACTTGACATTTGGGTCTTTCATGGATACAAACTGTTGGCACAAAAATATACTTAGATAAAAATAAACTAATACAGCGCTAACTCAAGCATTCATTCTTTTCTTTTACAAAATGGTTGAAGTGCTACATTTACCTCAGCTAAATGTAATTGAATTAAAAAATCTTACCTTGACTGAATGGGCTTTAGATGCAATGTTTAGACACATGGTGGCTATTGTCTCAGGTGTATACTTCAAGCATAACATTGTAAGTTGTGAACTATAAAACAACAAGAAAAAATGTGTTAAAAATAATGCAACATTATTTTTATATAGCTATTCTAGCCTTATTTTATTAAGATCTATAGCATTTGTTTTTTTAATCATATTAAACATTATTCAGCAAAAAAATAGCTTACCTAGCAGTAGCAAGATTATATGCATATTGAGATATATCCTTGATATTCTCAGCTGAAATGGAAAGATACCCATCTATGTGAGGAAGGAGAGACAAAGTTTGTAATAAGCAAAATAATTTTTTCAACATCCATGCAAATTGTTTCTCATTTTATACTATATAATACAATTTTATTATCTAATATATCTAGAATGTATACTGTAAAAATGTAAAAAAAAAATTAGCAACAGCTATTTAACAAAAAGGTAAAAATAATACGTACCACCCAAAAGAGCACACATTCGAATTACATAATTATGTGGATGTACAATCTGAAGCTGGAAACCTACATGAAAACAATTACAATTTTTTATGAAGTAATAAGCACAACATTAATTTTAAAACTCAATTTACTTATGTTCTTTAAGTTATTATTGTGGCACCATCAGCATCAATAGATTTAGTTAATTTTAACAATAACAATTCATGTGTGAAATGGGCTCCAGCAAAGAAGATTGAGGCCGATAGAGCTTTTCTTCTTGGTTGAAACACATAAAGTTGGAGTTAAGTTCTAACTTAACCTACCAATGACAGCATAGATCTCTGTTTCACACTCGAGGACAAGCTTCCTCATTTCCTGGTAAGCCTGTCGGACAAAGATAGACCCACACATTACAAGTATAGGTTCTTAGATACTTTGTCACGACTCAATGCCTTTTTATACTTATAGTTAGCAAGTACAATGTCATTTTTTTTAAATAAATAAATCTATTAAAAAAAAAAAGTTTTGGGAACTTTTACAATTGCGTATGCTTAAAAAATGTATTTAGGATTCTAACTGCAAACTCAACAAGTTTAAAGTATTTGGAAATTTAAACAAAATAAAAACAAAAATTTAATTTCTTCAGAGTAGACTTGTAAAAATTCAATTATAATGGAAACATTTGTACTGAGATCCTTTAAAAATGTGGACTGAATTTTTAAACCAAAAAATAAAATGATTTTTTATAAAAGGCTAACAAAAACATATTACAAGATGTATAAAAATGAGCTACTGGAAAAATACTACATGTAGGTAATCCAAACTTACAATTTGTTCAATCAACTTTAAGCTTAAAAATTGTCTTCCTGTATTTATTTTTGTGTTCAAAGTCTTATTTAAATTTTACAATTATGAAAAACTAAACTGTAAAGTTTTAATTAAAATTCTTTTATTGTGAATCATATTTTGTATTTGTTCTTTATGTAAAGATATAAGTTAACAAATTATTTTTTGTCTTCTTTAGTTTAACACTTCATGTGTATATGGCTGCTATAAAGAGGGGTATACTATTTTCATGCACAAAAAATTAAAACATACATAATTTTTTTTTCAAATCTGAGACGTCTTTGAGATTTAAAAATGAAGGTATTGAAAAAGCCTTTGATAAAAAAACTTATAATGTTAATACTAAGTTCTTTAAAAGCAGTTGTGCAAGAAAAACACACTAGTGAGCAAATTGTTTTAGATCATTCTGAAAAATAATCTACTATAAGCAAGTGTTACTACTGTCATCAACTTTTTATTCAAAACATCAATTTGATTTTATAAAAATCATTATTGAAACTCAAAGTTCAAAAACAAGAATATAAATTTTGAAATTAGTTGTGCCATGCAGTATCAAACGAGAACTAATTTTTAAACGCGTTTGGATTACCTATAATTACTATGAGAAACTAAAGCCACTGATGTGTTTGATCAAATGCATATAAGAAAGAACACTATCTTTTTACTTACAGGTGACTCAATGTTGCAGTTATTCTGACACAAAACATCCATTTTTACTCTGTACTGAGAGTCCATTTCATAAGTAAAAGGATCTGTTTTATCCAAAAACTCCCTGTTCTTGTTCGTCCTGATGATGTCCACAGCTGTTCTGATGAGATGTTCCAACTTACGAGCACTTTCTTCCACTTTACCACCAGCAAAAGCAAGCCCCAAGGCCAGATGCTGAAAAAAACAAAACAATTGATCAAAGTAGAAAATGTACAAGTGATGGCATTTATTTCAAGACATTTAAGACCATTAACTAAAATTGATTGCTTACCACTCTGGGAAATGATTTGACGGAGCGAAACATGTAAAATCTGTGCATGAAGATTACACTAGTGTTCACAGCAAGCTGGGTCCTTCAAAACAAAGCATTAAAAATACTTTAAAATATTAAAACTGTAATAATAACAGCAAAATTTTCAAATGATAAATCGACAATTAACACTAAGTAACATTTTTTATTTATATGAATTAACTATTTAGTTAATTCAAATTTTACACAACAATATACATACATTATTTTATCAACTTTGGAGACACAAACAGGAAAACAAGTTAATAAAAAGTCTAGTGACAATTTAAGCGCAATTTCCTTAATTAATTTTTTGTGACCGAACGAAAGGATATTTTGAAAACTTTCTTCGGCAATATTGTTCTAAATTATGGCAGGAATCGATTGGTAAATGTTTCAAGTCGCTAAGTGGTCTGGTTACCGAGATATGGGCCAAAAACTGCATTTTTTCCAGGTTTTTTGGCTTATCCGGGAAATCCAGGAAGGAATTCCGGGAATTTTTTTGGCCCACAATCATCCTCGGAACTTGCTTAACATATTTGCTTTTGGAATTAGTCCTCAATATTGATTCGTTGAGGAGGAGATACGACTTAAAGCTGCGGACACACATCGGACACACATCCATCCTTGACGAGTTAATAATCGCAATTGTCAGTATGGAAATTGCGCTAAAAACTACATTTTGTGAAGCTAACTATTTACATTTGGTACTTACAATCCTGACTTTAATCCAATTGTTTGTATTAGCATTGCTTGTTTCTGTCGGAATGTCAACTCTTGCTCTGTGGTGATGCCATTCTCCACCACACTAGGAGTATTTCTCAACTTCTCCTCATCAAATAGCCACTTAAAATTGCAGCTAAGGTCTTCCATGTTCTGTAAAAATATACACATTGAAATATATATGTATATAATGTACTGTTGATGACTAACAGCTGCTCTATAATAGTACATGTAACATGTTAGGAGAAGTAATGTAAGAAAAAAATGATGACCATGCAAATCCCCTAAGTAAACTACTATTTCCTTGATCTTGAAAACATGAAACTGGTATTAAGTCTATCAAAGTTCAGAGCTATCCCATTTTAAAAATAGTTTTAAATGTATTACTTAACATTGAAAACAATTTATATAATAAATCTAACACTTATATAAGGGTTATTTTTTTATGTGAAAGCAAGTATCATCTGTATTCAAATTTTAGAATTTTTGTAGGCGTATATTAATTGGTAATCAATGTTTTAATAATAAAGTGGCAGCAGTATTTGAATTTTAGGAATTAGCTCAGTTTAGTTGAGATAACCTACGCCTACATATATTTCTACTTTTTATATATTTAACCTGTGATAAAAAAGGCAAACAAATTTTTACTAATTATCTCATTTTTGGAACGAAAAGCTGTATGCATGAATTTGACCAACAATAGGGCTTGTAAGTCTACAGTCTCAAAATCTATTAGCTGGCAAGTACGAGAACGAGAAGTTGTGGCCTACTTAAAAGCCCTATTATCTTCAATATACTGTTGTACCAATATTCAAAGATAAAATTGCTTCAATTATGCCAAGCATTTAATTTACTACGCATAAACTAATTTAGAGAAGTATATTATATTAAAATTTAAATGCTGAACAGTTTTAACTCTAATAGTTGAGGCCAAAATTTTGTTATCTGCTGCACCAGTAAATTTTTTTTATAGGCCTATCATTAAATCACTAAAAATTCATCCAGGGCTGCCCTACAATGGTATTTATTTAGAACTAATTATCTATTAAGTGTTATTTAACAGCAGTTTACATTTTGAAAGAACACTAAATTATTGAATCTATTAATAGAATAGTATGTTACTCAGGTTGTATTATTTTTTAAAATACAATTGACAAAATTTAACTTTTAATAACCCAATTCAAATTATCAAAACATGTTTTTACATACAATTTTATAAATAACACTGCTAGTATATCAATAAACTATTTTGGCATAGACTGCCTGCAACTTTAAAGTATGCATTTCGAAAAAGGTCAAATAAAACAAGAACTTAGTTAATGCATATTCAGTTTTTTTTTCAATTAAGGCAGCTGATATTTGCTGATTTTGTATGTAAAAGAAAAATTACTGTATAAAGTAAGCTGATGCAGAAATTAAAAAATTACATCTAATAAACTTTATAAATAAATTTAATTTCATGCTTTTCACATCAAACTTTGTAGCCTTTCTATAAAGGATGTTTTGTTTCAAAATGTTTATAAATTATAGAAGACAAATTGGTCAGAAACAAACATAAGTAAATGGTTCAAGATATAAGCAAAACAGTAGCTTCTGTATAATCTGAAACCAACTTACAAGAATCAGTTGGATAAGAGATAATGCTACCAACCCAAAGTACAGCCCTGTTATTGCTTAAGCATGGATAGGTACCTTAGGTATAAATAAGAGTTTGTGCAAACATTATAGGATGTTTTCTACCTTCACATCCAATATAATGATCTAGAACTTTTTCTATTTCCATAGACCACCACCCTTCATAAATAAAACAGTTCTAGGACCCTTGCTTAAACGTGTTAACACTATTTTGAAGTATAGGGAAATAGGTGGGGGGGGATTTTTATGGTAGAGTATAGGATCAAAAGAGTGACTTTACTTTTTTTTTAAAACCACAAAAGCAAGATAATAGCTGTATTTAGATATTAAATCTTTTGTGACGTGATCACATGCATGCAACTTTACCTCCTTGCCTATTTATACTTTCCCCCACACCATATACACTTTGTTAACTTTGTAATTGTTTGTTACAAGATGTTTAAGCATTTTCTTTTCAATGTGTTGTAAATGAGAATATATGCAAAATATACACCTGCTACATTTTGCTATTAAAATTCACACTTCTTAACACATCTCTGAACAAAAAGGAATGTTATCCCCACCCAATAAAATTAACACTGCTCACAAAATCTACCTCATTCTATTGCTTATTTTCAGTCATAGATTGTATGAAAATAATGCCAAATGAGTAGGCCTAAAAGCCTTTCAGGGCTATTCCCAGCATATGGTTGTTACATTCCTCATAGCTTTTCTTTATAGTCTATACCACTATACCTAAAAAATGGGAAAAAATCAACCTTCATGGCTATAATATGTGCACAATCCCAAAACAGGAAAGTAATAGGAAAAGTAGGATTCAACAAAACTTCTATGACTGCCAGCAGGGTGAACCACTTTTCCACCATTATAACTCATTGATTCACCGCTAGTGAGGCGAAAGGGTAAATATAGGGGACTGAGAAATCCAACAAAATTGTTATGTGATCCTGAACACAGGTTTAGGTTCTCTAACTAGTTCAAATGGCAACCCATTTTTAAGAAAGCCAAGAGACCCATACAACAATTAAAAAAGAATATTATAGACTGGGAGCCTGTGATCTAGCTTCTAGTGATACACTCTGTTGGCAATCACAGATTTAGTTTCCTTTACTGCATGAAAAGGTCTACCCTATTCCTGCTTGGCTTAAATACTTAAATGCCTTTTTGTGACATTTCTGCTACTTAGTGCAAATTAAAATTTTAAGTAGTTCTAGACCTACTAGTCTTTTCTAAATCTAGAGTCTAGATCCAGAATATAAGCAGAATTTGTTTAATTAGATCTACGTAGGCCTCCTGTCTAATTTTTAATGAATTGCAGGTTTTTCTGGCCTCTAAATTTAGTAAATTTGGCTAAAGAAACGTTTATTTTCCCTTTCAGTTTTTGTTAATTTCTACCTGTTGAATCCGCAAGACTTTAGTCTACCGACAATAATCGATTTATGACTAAAAACATCTCATGGTGATTAATATCTGGGATGAGTACATCAACGTGAGACCAACTAAGGCCTAAGGACCTCGCGGAACAAAACAGCGTGGATGTGATATCAAAAAAAAAAAAATTGGAAGAGCATGGTCTTTGTCATGTTCCAGGACAGACAGAAATATGAAATAAAGCAACGTTTACAAATGAATCAGAGAGATTCATTTGTGTGATTAATTGCTATGTCAAGTACATTTTGCTTGTATTTAGCAAGCGTAACAAGTTTCTTGGGGTTAATAGATTTTTAAAAAACGTGACATTTGTATCCAGTACATAGAATGTAACATTCACTTTTAAAATGGCGGATGAAACAGATTCGCATAAAATAAATAGTAAAATATAATTGGTTAAAAGGTCATTGCAACTCTAAAACTTATTTATTTCTTAAGAAATCAATCTACATTTTTAAGGTTTTATAATTTTTAGTACAATTATTAAAAGTTGTACCGATTTTACCGCACTAATGTATGTAGGATTTAATAAACAAAAGGTCAATGTCCTCCATTAGATAATATCTAGGTCAATAAGTGCGTGTGAAGTACCGTTTTACAAAGGGGCGCTACTCTAGAATTGAAAACTCACTTTGTAACGGTACCTTTGCACTTTAAATCACTTTTGGTTTCAGGGTTGACAACATTAAGATTTAATACTATAATAGCCAATGAATTTATTGTTTATTTCTGCTATATCTAACTATATTGTTTCGCTCTTAAACGTTTAGAAATGGCTCATAATCGAGTTATATAACGAATGACTCATGTAGGCCTGGTATTATGAAAGCAGTTTCACCCCATGCGAATCTAAACAACACTGTTGTTGATCGGCTGGCTATTTATAGCCATGTTTATATGCTACTATTCTAACTGCTCTTCCTCTTATATTAAAGAGTCTTTCACTGTAAAAAATTAATATAAGCATTACATTATGGCTTAATTGTAAGAAATTGGATCAACTAGCTGTGTCGTAACCAATACCCGTGTAACAATCAGTGTTTCTTCCAGACCTTTTTTCTCCGGGGGGGGCGGGGCACTTAAAATTTTCGGGGGGGGGGTAGACTTTCTTCGGGGGGGGGGGGGGCGGACACTGTTAAAAGTATATATTTTTTATATAAATTTCATTTTCTCCGTGGGGGGGGGGCATATTTTCCGGGGTGGAGGCGGACACTAGTAAAAATATTTTTTTCTATATAAATTCCATTTCATCGGGGGGGGGGGGCGCTTAGACACCCCCCCCCCCCTCCAAGAGATGGCTGGAAGAAACTCTGACCTTAATTGCTGTTGACTTGGATGACAGAAATGAGTACTTCTCTATCATGGTGCAACCTGATTGGCCTCAAATGTTATACAACCATGTGTAACACTAACAACCCAGAGTAACTTGGGCGAGCAACTTTTATTTAGTAAAATACTGGAGGTCACTGTGTTTATTGTTACCCCTCCAATCCACCAAAAAAATCTCTGCGGTGGCGTGAGGTGGGGCAGATATAGAGGGGTACTTCGAGTGAGATCACCGAAGTCTTGGATTAAATGTCTAACACCAAATGAAGCTATCGCAAGTGTCGTGTAAACAAGGAGTTATCTCAGTGGAGCGTGACCACACAAGCACAGCTAGTTAACGTCACATAGGCCCAAAGGCCTCTACAGTGTTAAGGGTGTGTTAAGAATATAGGGTGGGCAATGAGAGGTGGGTCCAATATGTTATCATCACACATCTAGACTATCGCGAGTTTAGCTCACAGTGGTAGCAGCCGAGTTATTGCTTTAGGTAAAGTAGCGAGGACTTGACAATCGTTAGTTTTACTTTCTCGTGTACGAAGTATAGAGAAAGTATTGTAATCCTTCCTGCAAAATTGTTGAAAGAAATGTCCTCAAACTACGAATTACAACGATGTATGTGGAGTGTTTCTTCCATACTTTTTTCTCGGGGGGGGGGGGGGGGGGGGGGCACATGAAATTTTCGATGGGGCGAACTAAAATTGCCAGGGGGCGGACACCGTTAAAAGTATAATTTTTCTGTATAAATTCCATTTCGATCGGGGAGGGGGGGGGCAGAGCAGAGGCGTAGCGAGGGGGGGGCGGACATATGTCCCCGGGCGCCGACCTTAGAGGGGGCACCAAATTGAAAGTTTGAGGGGGGTGCAAATGAAAAGTTCGAGGGGGGGGTGCAAATCGAAAGTTTGGGGGGGGTGCAAATCGAAAGTTTGGGGGGGGGGTGCAAATCGAAAGTTTGAGGGGGGGGGGGGAGCAAATGAAAAGTTCGAGGGAAGGGGGGTGCAAATCGAAAGTTTGTCCCCGGGCGCCGGGAAGGGTCGCTACGTCTCTGGGGCAGAGCCCCCCCCCCCCCCCCCCCCCCGATGGAGAGATGCATAGTGTGCCATACAGGCCACTGACTTCGATTTCAACCAGTCTTTCTGAATTCGCTTCCATAGTGAGTTTCCAAAGAAAAAACTACAAGGCGGTGATTTTTGTCTTTGGAGTTTTTTTTCTCTTGCATGGGTTGCTATCCCCAGCTATTGAACCTGATATGTCCGGGCGTTCCAACTCAGGACTTAAGGATTCAGCTACCATGAGCTTTACCAGCACAACCACGCCTATCCTATCTAGTCTTTAAATTTGCTGTAAATGAGAAGTTAGAACAGCGGAGACCATAAAAGAATAAAAACTTAAAACAAACCTTTATCATCACATACTCTAATACATCAACAGCATTTTTGCTTTTTGAAGGAGAGGCATTACGTTTGCCTTGATTATCATTCGTAGCTTCGGGGTTTACGCTTCCATCTTCACTTGCCATCTCCTCCTCTTCGACAAAGGCAGTAGAAGTTGCCAAAAACCGGATCCGGCTCCGCTGGGCTCTCGTGTCGGCATCACTTCCCGGAATGTATGTGTACTGTTGGTGCAATGTTGCTGGTGCCAGTTCGTGTGGGACGCCGCTGTTGTCAGCTGACCGAAAGTCTCGGCTCTCGACAGAATCAGAACACTGCGCATAAATCATGCTGGGTGGACAGAAAGAGACAACAGCAGACGCCGTGCATACATTTGCTGCTGCGCTCTGTTGATTTGCGTTGGATGTGGCTAACCCGCTGTAGGTCATGGCTATATTTAGGTTCTCGGGAAAATCTAGAGTGCCTTGGATGAAGGAGTTATACGAAGATGTCGACAGATCAGTGCTAGAAATCTCTGAAGAAAGAAAGTCTCCATTTTGAGAGGGTCTTCCAGGACCCATTCAGTGATGTCAGTTGTGATCTACTTGTGTTTGGTTTGGTGGTTGTCGCGTCGTTGTAGTCAATGTTGGAACATTGGCGCCGAGGGCTGGAATATTGGTGATGAGTGTGTTGATGTATTAGACTCACTCGAGGCTAGATGGCGTTTGTGTCTGACAGCGGTAACCTGATTAAGTCCTGATGTGTTGTCTAAAGAACCAAGAGTCCACAGGCAGTGGTGATGTCACGTGGTACCAGCGGTCAGGGCATTGAAGGCTCGCCCTGAAAAGAAAGAAACATCTCTTATATTCGTGATTGCTACGAGTCTGAGGAACTCAGATTCAGACCCAAGCATATGTCAATTTAATGCTTATATCTACTTCATGCTTAGATCTGATTCATGCTTAGTCTACTTCATGCTTAGATCTACTTCATGTTAAATCAATCTTTATGCGGAGATCTACTTCATACATGCTGATATTTACTTCGGGTGCTGGGAAACTGCGAGACGCGAAAAGCAAAATGGCGAGGTGGTAAACTGCGAGAAGGGCGCGAAAACCGCCGGTCACTTGATATTATTGCCTCGCATTTTACCACCACCCGATACTTACGTAGGAGGGTGGTGGTAGGATGCGAAGTTGTCTGCGAAAATTTTACCGATACCGATTTACAGCTATATTTGATGCAGACTTCAAAGACGTTTCGTTTACATTGTTAAAACTTCCGATTATTCCGTCGCTAGACATTCTGATGTTTTGTCAACTTAACCATCTTTTGTGTAGACTTAGAAAACCACCTTGTTCGAAACCGTCCGAAATACCGCCGACGAAAGATCAACTTCTTTCTATGGGTGTTGGGAAATTGCGAGACGCGAAAAGCGAAATGACGAGGCGGGAAAATGCGAGAAGATAATGCGAGACATACCTGCGGAATCAAGGGTAAATAGCGAGACACTTTTTGCGAAAAAAAAATTCATGCTTTTTTCATCTTTATTTATTTAAATTATTTTTTTTTGTTTTAAAATAAACTAGCATGTAGCCATACCCTTTAACACGAGTGTTGTATGTTATTATTTTTTATCTAGATTTCATTATATATATAGATACTAAGAAGATAGATAGATCTATTAAAAATCCTAACATCGTTGCTGTGCCACTGTCATCGCCCGCTCTCGTTAGCGAGAGGAAAATCCCGTCTCAGTCGACATTAATTTTTAAAACTAACCCGTATAAAAGTATAAACAATTCTAAAAAGTGTAATTTTTTTTTATTAAATAATTTTAATTACAAACAAAATTCACAAACAAAATCTTCTGAAACAGTCCTAGCACTAATCAAACACACCTCGTCACACCATCTTTCACACATAGTACATCCAACCCAGTTCATTAGACTCTCATTTATACTGTGCTAACACAGAACACGAATATGAACATAATGGTAAAAAAAATGTGCGTCTGTAGATAATCTGAATAAAGTCTGCTATCGACAAAACTACCATTTAATAGCTAAAAGGGGTCATTCATAAATGACGATTATTACCCCCTCCCCCACACATATTCACAAAAATCCAGATCCTTTCCCCTCCACTAAAATGACATCACACCTCAGCTTACAACCCCCCCCCCCTCAAAATTGTAGTTGAATTTTTTTTAGGCCTACATCGATATGTTTCCAAAATCTTGTCTACTTTCTTTCAAAATAGAGTATTTTAATCAATTCCTATTACAATTTATTAAAACAGTTTTCTAAAACGGGAAATAACGTCTAAAATTCTTTTTCTAACACTGCTTTTTTATAGTGTGACGTCACAACATCTACCCCCCACCCTCCCCCTCATCAGACATTTCTATGCAACAATACAAAATGTTTGCGGCGGCATGGTGATCTTCAAAGACGGTAAATCAGGCGGCCTCGGCGTTCCACACAAAAGACAGAAGTTGATCTATCGTCGGCGGTATTTCGGGCGGTTTTGAACAAGGTGGTATTCCAAGTCGACACAAAAGATGGGGGGAGGACAAATCATCAGTATGTCTAGCGACGGTAAAATCGGAAGTTTTAACAATGTAATTAAAGCGTCTTTGAAGTCTGGACCAAATACCAC